AATTTATTTGAAAAAACTTTAACTATTAAATATAAAATTGCATAATTTTAAATTTAAATTATTTTTATTATTATTTTTATTAATTTGCATAATTTTTTTTCTATACATTTAATCTAATTTTTTTATTAAAGGTGTTCACTTTTCTTTCATCATAAGAAAAATAAATACCATTAATTATTGATTATAAATTGTTGAAAGAATAGCAAACAATAATTTATGTGTGAATCATTGAAATATATATTATATAAATAAAAAATCTTTGCATTATCTTCAGCAGTATTTCAGAAAATAATTTTTAAATTTCGTATGCGAATCAACTTGTATAATTAAATATAACAAATAATACATTAATGATAAATATATTCAAACCATCAACAATATCATAAATTCAGAAATCAAAATAATATCATCTCAGATATAAATAAAAGTAATATCTAATAATATATTATTGAAATAAATATATAATAAATTTTTATAAAATTCAAATCTGAGTTAGATCTTATTGAAAAATTATTTTTTCAATATAGTTTTATATTTACATTTGACATTAATACATTAATTCCTTGCTATTCCTTTTACTTTTTTTTGTTTGTACATATATATGTACATAAATGCACATAGAATAATGTAATAATAAATTAAATACATATTAAGTAAGTTCATTTATATTCTATTATATCTAAAAATAAAATAATAATAATTTTAATGAAAAGATAATACACAACATGAGTTAATCAATATAAAATCAAAATAATTCAACAAATATCGCTTCGTTATTTACTTAAAAAAAATAATAATAAATATTCATCTCGCCACAAAACAACATAAAACATGAATTCACTGTACATAGAAAGATACAGTGTCGTTAGTTCCAACATAGAGAAATAATTATTGTGTCACAGTGCGATGATCCTTAAATTATCACTCTAAATTATTTTATCAGCATTTCTATATTGAAAACGACGCACATATTTTCCTTGGTCGACGAAGAAACAAGCGTAATATATGTAATATATAATATATAATATATATATATATGTGTGTGTGTAAAAGCTTTGGTAAAAATTTCAGATTTCAATTAACTGGCATGCAGGCTCTATTGTAGCGTATGATGTGACAACTTACAACCACAGGGTGGAGCACAATCGCGTTGTATAACAACATTTCTGCGATGACATCGTCTGTCGTCAAGAGTGCTCTCGTACATGAATAAAAACATAATGGTATTGCCCTATATAAAGGGAAACATAGGGTAGAAAATAAACGAAAACTGGAACGAACACTTTATATTTCGTGCGTACTTTGGTCTATATGTATGAAAATGTATAGGAGTTTTGAGTTGTGTATTTCTAGTATATCTTTTAACAGCTGGATTTTCATGTTATTGATATAATATAATATAAATTACGCGAAATATATATGTGTGGAGAATTTCTTAATTCTTCGTTATGTTGACTCGTGAAAAGATTATTGGAAATAAAAAATAAACAAGAAATAGGAAAAAAAATGAAAAAAAGAAAAAAAAAATATACGATATTATGTAAATATGTTGGTTAAAGGTTATCGCTTACTAACTCATTATTACTTATGTATCTTGAGTGATTTTTATGTACAGAGTGAGTTGTGTAACGCGATCATTTTGAATAATTTGTAAACTATCTATTATATAAGAAAATTTTTCACTTAAAAATTAATATAGAAGTATATAATCTAATTTTAACAGAACATGAAAATTATTTTTTATTTTTTAAAATAAAATCACTTTTCTTTTATTGATATAATCATTCTCTAATTAATTTAGAAGATATCCCAAATTTGAATTGTTGTTGTATGAAAAACAAAGAAGAAAATATGTCTTATACATTTAATATAACATTTAATATGTCTTATAAATTTAATCAAATTCAGATCTTAAACTAATAGCTTTTTATTGAAAATTAATTTTTTTTTTTGTAAAAAATAAAAATTATATGAAACAATCTATTAAAAATTATATGATTCTATTCTCTATTGATTCTATTCTATTTGTCTATCTGCAAAAAAAATAATGACAAGTTATATTTTCTTCTATACTATGCAAATTTGAAGGAAATATATTTTTTTATATAATAAGTAATTTACAAATAATTTGAAATAGTCTCACTCTGCCCATATTCGTGTATATGTATTTCTATCTCTAATACTAATAAGCGATATTTTCTATATAATGACGTTGTAGATAGCAGACTAAAGTGGCAAACCGTGCAATCTTGGCAAAAGGTGTGCTCTTGTTATATTTCTGTAAATCAAACAAAATGGAGGAATATAAGATTGTTTCCTCCAATTTATTTTAACAATGTTTCGTATCGTATTATTAAAGATAAAAAAATTGTTAAAATTCTTCAAATATAAGGGATAACAGAATGAGATGCGTTCAAATACACCAATGCCGAGTGCTCGAGCAGCAACCTATTGATGAACCTTGTTACGTCAGAACGAATAAATCGGATCGATAATGCAAAGGACATGCAAAAGAAGAACTGGTTGAAAGATTTCATGCTCTTCTTGTTAAATCGAACGTTTACTCGTACGCAATCCCTATTCCTAAGATGAAAGATCCAAATAATATCGTTGTATGGAAATGTAAATTTTAATTTTATTAATATATTCCAAGTTACAAATAGATAGATTTGTATTTTTGTATAATTAAATATCTCGTAAAAATAAAAACTTAATATATTTTATTTAAGAAAAAAAATTATTACTAACTTGGAAAAATTTTATGCAAATTTTAAGAATTTTTAATAGGAAAATATTATTTATGAATATAAAATGGTTCATTATAAAAAATAAAAAAATAGAATAGGAAAATATTATTTATGAATATAAAATAACTCATTATAAAAAATATAGAAATATAATATTTTATTTGGATAAAGCTATTATTGTATCTCTTAAATTTGCTTATTAATATTAATTTATTAATTGAAACATTATTATAACTTTTATTAAAAACTATTTATGTTTAAATTTTGACTTTTTGTTTAAAATATTAAAAAGATAAAATTGATAATTGATAATTTAATAAAATTTCGAAATATATAAATCATTAAAATTATATCTTTTATTATATAAAATAATATTATATAAAAATAATTTTTATTATATAAAATATTATATAAAAAGTTATGAATAAAAATATTTCTTTTTAATTTACTTAATTTTTTCAATTCTGAAATAAACAAGTAAATACAATAAGTGCTCTAAGATTTTTAAAAAAAATGTAAATTTAATACATTATGGCACTTTTGTATCACTCATAAAGTTTTATGTTTGTTTATTAATAGTACAAATCAAATCACTTATAAATTTTAGATCATTCTATGTCAATATTAGTTTGTTATTTTTTAAAATGAAATTCTATTACTTTCGAAACATTGACGAATGTAATTTTTAGCTTCATCTTCATCATTCTAATCAAAATTTTTCATTAATCCATCATATATAATTACAATTTTAAAAATAAAATTTTTTAAATATATTTCATTATTAAATTATAATATTTCAATATTTCAAATTAATTATTCAATATTTTATATTTTAAAGAACATTGAAGAATTCGTTCTAAATTCATTAATAATATAAAAATATATATTACGTCTAACATACAAGAATGTATTTGATCATAAGTATTGCTCTATTGGATCTTTCACCATGATCATTGAAATAAATAGATTCGTTCAGCTTGAAAAGAAAAGGGAACGCGGACAGCGATACATAGTGGTATGCAACATTTCTAAAACGTCAAAGTTCGCGTCAGCTATAACGAGCTTCTCGGCACTCATCGTTCCTTTCACTTTAACTAGTTAATAGTTATCTTCGTAAGACTGTTGGACATAACTTGATACGTATTTATATGCACTCGTTGGTTATTTTATTAATTCTGTCTGAGAAATTTTAACAAATATATACATAAATATAAATATTTATGCAACATAAAAAGAATTTAACTTATTTAGTAATAATAAATTAATGATGATAATAATGCAAAATAAATTGCAAAAATTATTCCTCTTTTAGAAAATATTATAATTTTATATAAGTGATTTTTTTTTAAATAAAATATTTTTTGATGCATTGGTAAATAAAAAATATTAGACATTTGTAGCTAAAATTTAATATATATTTAGTTTTGAAAATATTTTAAATTTAAAAATTAATAAATAATTAATAAATTTATAAATTAATATCAAAAAAATGAGATCATTTTTATATTATAAATACAAAATTATTTTTTATTCTCTATATTTTAATCTTTTTAACTAAATTAATCTTTTTAACAATTTTTTAGTATAAATTTAATAATTTTTATTTATTTTATTTAAAAACACAAAGCTAGGAAAAAATCAATTAATTTATTTCTCTCTCAAAAGCAAATTTTATTGGAAGTTCTTTTTTTAAAATAATGAATAGTTTGATAAATATCTATATCCATATTTCAAATAACATATAATATAAACATAATATAAAATATACAATACAATAACACAATACAATATATTAACATAATACAGTAACACAAAAGATAAAAATATAAAAGATAGATAAAAACATAGAAAAGTAGATTATTTTGTAAAAGATAAATGCTTCCATAAATCATAAAAATGATTTTCTATTTTTTCTAATTTTTATCTCCACTTAATTATTCGAATAAAAATAAAACAAAAAAATCACAAATGATACATTTTTTTCTCATAACAGATTTAATGAAATAACCGGAATACGTTTTAAATATATGGATATGCAACAATTTTCGTAATAATAATAACATGTATTCGTGTATCGAGCATTTGTGTATGAATTCGTGTAAGGGCGTGTAACTGATAGTTATTGTTATCATAATTTACGTAAATAAAATGTGTACATATACATGAAATATTATAATTATATACATACTGAAAGTAAAAATGTTAATAGACAAAAAAGACAGGAGATTGAAGGATGTAATTATATAATAATACCTCTTTCCATGTTCCCGCTTGTATTCGCCGCTGTACTTGGACCTACTGCCTACGAGCTCTATTATCTCAGGTATGCTACTAGCAAAAATTGCCTGCAAATAGAAATCATAACTGGAAAACGCTATGCCACTACGAACCGTTACAAACAAACTGGGTCATCTATGTATGGTTGCAATATACAGCGTATTCGCCAAATATGCCACATATAAATATGTATATATGTATATATAGTATATACACGTATCGTTGGATCCTCGTGGATTATACGTGGTCACGGCATTAAACGAGAGAAAGGAGAGAGAGAGAGAGAAAGAGAGAGAGAGAGAGAGAGAGAGAGAGAGAGAGAGAGAAAGAGAGAGAAAGAAAGAAAAAAACGTAGGAGATGGATAGAGAGATGGTAAAGGTTCAGGAGCAACGATCTGCATTTTTCTCCATGTGTTCTGGCGTCTCTCATTGTTCTTCGATGATAAATACCGACCAGTTTGTTATACTCGTACTCATATCCAGCTATGAATGTGTAGTGATATCCTGGATTAGCGGATGACGAGCATCATCGAAAATGCATACTCAGCGACGATTAACTCTATGTTACCGAATGCTACAATTTTTCAGGAAATTGACTTTGCGATCGATGCCTCGATTTGTATTTCGAATGGTGAAATTCCAATATGGCGGCTCATTTCACGAATCCGGTTAAGTCACGTTTACTCGTAGATAAGTTTCAACCTCGAAGTTGAAAATTATCCGCGTAAAATTTCTGTTGGATAAAATAAACGAAGTCGATCGATTTGATCATGTTGACTAATAATAAGTGAAGGTTGACTAATTTAAACGTAGCTTTAATGTCAAACGTTATCTTTGAATTTCAATTCGAATTTCGTTTTATTAAATATTGATTTTCAGATATACACTGCATTATATATTTTATTTTTATAGCTTTTTGTGTAAAATTTTATATTCATATCAAAGCAAAATAATGAAAAAGAAATTAATAATATTAAGAAATTATTTGGAACAAAGCCAATTTCCTTGGTCATATTTTAAATGAAAATTTTGAAAAGTTTTATCTGTTTAATGTTCAAATAAATAATTTTAAATTTTATTATTGTAGCATCATTGATGTATATATGTATATATATTATTATAAAATATTATAATGACTGAAATTAAACAGTTTTATATAGGTATATATGGTTTAAAATGTAAAATATTAATGTGTAAAAAAGCATTGAAATAGTTATAACTGAGAGAAAATATGATGATACAATTGTAGAAATAAAAAATATAAATTACTTATACAGAGTATTAAAAAAGATTATTTATATCATTTCTATTATTAAAAAAATTTATTAAAGATGGAAAAAAACTTGTGAAAAGTCACTTCTTGATCAAATATATGTAATACATTATTAAATTAAATAATTTTGATAAAATTTTCATCTATCTTAATAATAAATTTCATAATTTTTAATTCATTTTTTAAATAAATTATATATATATATATAGTCTAGTTGAGTGAAATATATTCAAAGATCATATATACACAAATTATAAATTTCTAAATATTTATCTTTAACAAAATACTTTATTCTATTCATATTTATTATTCATAATTAATAAAATAATAAATAATAATTTTTCAATATTCTGTATTATGAGTATGATTGAAATTTATGGTTTTCAAATTTCTTACAAATAAATCCTATATAATACCTATATGTATATGTATATGTGAATATATAAATATGTACATGTAAGTAAGGTGCACGATATAATGTTGTAATATATAATGTTCGTAGATGATAGACCAATTTATGACACGTATGTACGAGGAAACTGGAAAGACGATAATTTAAAGCTGATGATATATCATTTAGTTAATTAGAGGTAAAGGTGAAAATAAAATTAGGTATGCAAAAACATTCGTAAGATAAAGAGAGTGCGAAAAGAAAAATCAAATCATGCTATTAGACATTAAACAAAGAAATCAAGGAAGTAAGATGAGCACTCATTTCGATCAGTATCGATATACTAAGCAGCCATGCAAATGTAGAGCAAAGCACAGACCCCTACGTTTCTAATTCACAATAAGATAGCAAAATTTCCATTAAAAGTAGAAATTATCATCGAAATTAGAAATTTCATTATGCACATATTTTATTTTTGTAGAGGGCTGCAACGAGGGAAGCGCTACATTATACATTTGCAATTTTATGTATAACTAATATCTAAAATCTCTATTGTAATATTAAAAGAATCAACGAACCACTGTGAACATTTAATTAGTTTGATTCTGTTAATCGATTAAAAAAATGTTAGAATTTTATCGTCGAAGCAGTAGAACCTCATAGTGCTCCCTTCGATTTTGAGTTGTATGATAAATAATTCACATTGTCAGGCAAATTTATCGAACACGTCAAGCAACTAAAGACACTGCTATTATACAAAATCATAAGAAGAGTATAATAAAAGAAGATATATCGAATCCATATCGAAATTGAAAGAAAATTTATCGATTAAAAATATGACTATGAAATTTAATCAAGATGTCTTCGAACGAAAGGACAATAAGTTTAAGGAAAATCTTATGAGATATTGATTTTATTATTAATATTATTTGTTATTTTCAAATTTTTAATTACGTGCAATATTTTAATTTTTATTCTCATTTTATAAACTTATTTATATATTTAGTAATTTTTTAATAATAGATTATCGAACACTTTAAAATTATAATGCTTTCAAACGTTTTATTAAATTAAATTTATTAAATTTAACTTAAATAATATGTAAATACTTATATATATTTACTTTATTACTACTAATTAATACTATAATATATATTTACTTTATTTTAGTATTGAAAAATTCATAAATTTTTTTTAATCAATATTGATGATTCTTTTTAATGTCCTTTCCCTAACGACATCATGTATAGAATCGTATGACGAAATAACGAAAATTAAAACGAATTTAATCACTTTTTAATTAATTATTTCTAAATTGAAAGAAAAAAACTTGGATATATTTAATAATAAAGTAAAAACTCCAGGACTCTATTAATAAGGAAAAATTCCTTACACAACTACTATATCCCTGAAATATTAAATGTATAGAGTGTTTTGACAAATAATATTATTTTTTACCATTCTATTTCAAAATTTATTTCAAAATTTATTTTATTTACTAAAATCAATTCTAATGAAATAAAAAATATAAAAAAATCTATAAATTATACAAAATTATTATTAATTTCAATTAAAAATTTAATCTATCTAATTTAAATGTAATATTGTATAACATCAAACAGAATATTTGATGAAATATTTTGCTAATTTCAATTTGATTAATTATTTAACTTAACTCATATTTAACTTAATTAAAAAATGAAAATTGTAAAAAAATACAAAATAATATTGATATATCAATATCATATTCATAAAAATATAAAATAAAAAAATAAGGCAATATTTCAATATATTATGTATAAATTATTACACACATGTAATAAATAAATTACTCGAATTATTACGATGTTATATTTATTACTTGTCAAAGCTACTCTTTTTATGTTGCTCAATTCTTCACATCAAATTAATATTAATTGAATTAATTTTGAAAAAGAGAAACATGTTTTAAATTCTTTCATTACGATTGCTCCTATTGACATCTTCGTACTTAAATAGAAAATTGATAATTTTTCACCTAAAGTGATATCGTCATCGTTATTAACTAACTTCCTGAAATCGGTTTGAAGCGGTTCTATATTGTTCGAATCGCTATAACGCGTTATACAAAAACTCAGTGACATCATGCTTCCAATCAAGTGCCAAACAGTTTGAGAAGGTTCCAAAACAAGCTCGCTTTAAAATGTTACGAGGACATTATTCTCCGTCATAGAATACCGATATAATCGAAAAATATCAATTCCCATTATGAAACGTAAATTTATTCATGACTTTCATGATTCTTTTCGAGAAAAAATAAAAGAATATACATTATATATAATATAACAACAAAATTTAAAATGATGTGATCTCTTATCAGTCAAATAACTTACAGAAAAAAATTGTCCTGGAGCAAGAAACATAAAACTATATTCGATTCCACCTAAATCAACGATATAAACAACATGTCGACAATTCCTTTGAAGAAAGAAGTTTAAATACCAAGCTTGAAAAATAGTTTTTGCGATAGTTCTTGTCCTGAAAATTGTGCATACAGAATATACATTATCGAGGATCCTGGCAACAAATGGGAAAAAGAAAAGAATATTGAACGTTTTGCAACGGCAATCCGAGTGTCAAAGATAAAAGCAAGCAAAAAAACACACGTCTATTTTATCAATAATATCAATCTATGTAATATGTTAGTAAAGTTAGGCAGCATGTTAGCGTTCGCAGAAAACAGATAGAACATACAGACAGAATGAGCAGTCAATCAAGATCAACAAGCTCGCACAGAAACCAACATTGTATTGATATCGTTGAATTTCTGAGAAAGAGAGAGTGAGAGAGAAAGAGAGAGACAAAGAGAAAGAGAGAAAGAGAAAGAAAGAAAAAGTTCACGAAAGTACATGTGAATTGATGTTAGAGAGGACATTTTAGAAGAACGATAACGTGCCTCGAATCGAAAGATTGGAAAAATTGGCGGGCAACTCGGTCAATTTTTAAAAAATTTTCGAACAAAAACCGATTTAATCTTTTTGACATTTAAATGAACCTGAATGGACTCGAGGCTCGTTCGCAAATAGGTTCCTATTATTAGTTCAAATTTAATTTAATCGCGTAAATATCTCTTTTGGTAAATGAAATCGTTGCAAGAATTCGATTTACCTCATTGATGATGATCGAATTATATTATACAAAATACATATTATATAAAAGGTAGGTTATAATATGAATAAGGCAAGTAATTCGTAGAAGAAATTGAAGCGAATAATAATAGAGAAAAAAGATAGAGTAGTTATATATATGCGATAAGGAGCTGAAATATTTGTTAAGATACATACGGTATGATCGTCATACCGAGATCACTTTCTCCCGATTTGATTCAGCGAAAAAAAGTAACGTATTACTGCTGCAACAAAGCTGGTTCACATTATTTTTTTTTTTTTAAGATTAATTCACTGGAGCAACAAAATTGCGTGATTAAAAAAAGTAATTATTTTTGAAGATCGAGATCTTCTTTATCGATAGTGTTCGAATTTAATTCAATCTCTATTCTCTGAAATTTCACAGAGTATCTCGTGTCGATCTCTTTACTAATATGTTCCTAAAAGTATATCGAATTTTCAGAAATATATTGGAAATAAATGTTTCTATTTTCTTTTATTTATTTTTTTTTTCGTTTTAATCGAGCTTTCATTATTTATTATTATATATAAAAGGAAAAATGTTTTTTATTAAATTTAAGATAATATAATTATATTATATTAATATATTAATATGCGTACTTTCATTATTTTTTTCTAATTCCTTTATAAATGCTAATATATAATTATAATTTAATATTGTACATAATATAAATTTTAGATTTTTAAAAATAATTTTCATAATTTTTAATTCAAAATACTTAAAGTTTTTCATTTTTCTTCCATTGTATATTTATATTAATATAAATATAAATATATCACAAAGTAATATCCTGCATAGGATTTTTAATAATGATCAAATTTTAATATAAAATACAGAATTTCTATCAATTTCTGTTTTTCTATCATAAATTCACATAAATTCACATAAATTCATTAATTCAGCTATACCAATAAAGAAATTATTTGTATCTCAAATGAAAGACTAATATACAAAATATTCGCATAAATTTTCGATTCTATTATTTAAATACCTGTTCAATTCAATTTTCTCAATTCAATATACTTCTAGGGATTGACAAAAATGAAAGCATAATACCTCACACATTATTTACCAACCTTGTTAACGATGGCCTAATATATTCGAAAGCCAAACATTTAACCGCCAAACGAAAATAGATATTTAAAAAGCCTTTACGATCAAAAAACAGCGTATATATAGAAAAGAAAAGAAAAAAAAAATGGAAAAAAAAACGTTTGAAACAGCTGCATAAGCAGAGAAATTTTTTCTTCTTTTTTTTCTTTTTTTCTTTTTTTTTTTTTTTTTTCTCCGACCACTTTACCTCGAGAGAGAGAGAGAGAGCTCGAAGCGCAAGATGCCATTGCGATCCGCGCTACAAACCTTTCATTTTCGTACGATAGAGTGAGGCTGTTAGGTTGCACGAGATATAGAAGGTTGCCGTTGTCGTCCGGGACCGTGTCACGAACGTTTCCTCTATTATTCTCAAAGTGTCATATATCCCTCGTGATCTCGCTATTCTTTGCCTCCAATTTTGGTTCGCGAATTATTATTCAGCCGGGTATGTGAAAAGACGTGAAATCAATAAGTAGAGAGAAGAATGAACACGAATCCTTTTCCACAAGAACGATCTCGTCGTTTGCATATCGTTATTTCACCTTGTCTCTCCACGTTGATTTTTTTCTTTTTTTTATACATATATATCTTTTAACACACGAAGACGAGAGTGATATATGATTATATGGAAATATCGGGACCAGATCCCGACAACGATCACCATATAGAGGTATAGGCATAAGGCACAGGTAGCCAGTAACGTTATATAGAAAATTTTCGAGCTCTTATTATTATTTTTCGTTCATTTTTATTTTTCTATCCATTCGTTTATTGCGAATATTTTTTTTTTATTTTTTATGTAGTTTTATTTTTAATTATTTTTTTTCGTTGTAATACATATACGGTGGTCCAAAATGGCGTAAAATTGGACCGAATAAGCAAGCTGCTTATTTTTTTTTTTTTTTTCATTTAATAAATGAAAAAATATACCCTTTTCTTATGGCATATATAAAATTGTTTATATATGCGACTCGTGGTATGGGGGCTCAATTTAAATAGATTACGATTCAATTGATATAAAAAAGAGATAGACAGAGAGATAGAGAGAAAGAGAGAGAGAGAGAGAGAGAAAGTGTGAAGCTGCTCTGTGATTTCAGTTGAAACTCTTTTTACTTCCTTTCCTCGATGAGACGGGGAGGAATCGACTGGTACTGTATAATCGATATGCGCGAGCAGAAATAATGATTAAAATATTCCAGATTATTATATTATCATCAGTTTAATTACAAAAATTGAAATAAATTTATTTAAATTTCAAAATATCTAAATATCAAAATATCACTTTAAAATTTAATTAAAAATAATTTAACTCTTGATGGTCTAAACGGAGTAACTTTCTTCTAAAATTATATTTTTTCTTTAAATTGACTTATTTAATGGAAATATTTTTTATTGACATAAATTATTTAAAAAAAATTGTAAAAATATTTAAGAAAATTGTTGAATATTAGACTTGATATAATTTTATATTTCTTAGATATTAAATCTTGGAAAAATTTGTAGGATATTCTAAAGAGACTACTTAGATTTTTATATAAATTTCCAAAATTTGAGAGCTTAAGGGTTAAAAAATTAATGCTCGATGATAATATTTATTACGGACTTATTTTTTTACATTCTCAATATTTCAAAATTAGTTTTATATTATCATTTATACTATAAAAAAAATTTTCGAATAAGAAAATATAAATATTGTTCAATTAAATTATACATTGATATCGAGTCGATCCCTCGTTTCATCGAGAAAACATAGTTATCGTGATTGGCGTAAGGTTTGTCGAAAGTTCTATAGATTTCGAAAAAAAACAAAAAAAAAAAAAAAAAAAAAAGAAGAAAGAAAACAGTCCTCCTACTTGTTTCGATAATTTACAGTGTCTACTGTATATGTTGTTAACTCTCTTATTCTAATAATATTTATAGACAAACGTTACGCTAACATTTTTACGTTTAAACGGCGATGCTCAGATATTTTCCAACGATATATCAATAATAACGAATTGTAAAATTCGCGCGAATTTTGAATGTTCCCATATATTCCTTCGTCTCTGTCGAAAATTAACGATCTTGCACGATCGATAACGTCACACACGCTCAATTATTCGCACGCACACTCGCGACCAGTCACACTTCTCGCAGACACTGCGCATCGTCGTTCAAACGAAGCAATCGATTCACGATTAGTGACATTGTTCTCCAATGGTTACTTAAAAACTAAAACAAAATTCATCTGATTCGTTTCATCTCATCACATCTCAATGTTTAACGCGAATTTCTCTGGCGAAAGGTAATTGAGGAAATGAAAGTTGAGAGATATTAGTGAATATTTAAATCAAGTTCACGATTAAATAATTATATATCATACGATAGAAGATAATATTAAAATGAATTGAATAAGTTTGTTAGTATACGATGTGATAATAGTCACAAATGACTATTATCGGTAGAGCCAAACTTAACTAGCGTTAATGGCTGTCTACTAGATCAATTAAGATCAATCAAGAATTACATGTATGTTGGATAACAAAGTTTAAAAAGGTTTTTATATAAAATAACTATAATTTTTTCATATTATATAAAAATTTATTTAATTAAGATTGTAATATGTATTTATTATTTTTTTTATCATTATGTATTAGTGTGTCAAATAATTTATTCATTTCATTTATTTATAACATTTTGTCTTGTATATCTCTAATAAATATTAGTAAATATTCTAGTTTCACATATTATGACAATAAATTATGTGAAATATGATCATTATTAATCTCTTATTAATTTATTTCTGATTTTTATTTTATACAAATTTCAACAAGATTAATTATCTTATTTTTATAATTTCTTTTTTAATAGTTCAAGTGATACTTTTAAATATTTATCAAAAAACATATAAACATTATCTATAATACGATCTCATTAATCATCCTAATACAATAGCATAATAAATATGATAATTATATTAAATATTTTTATATATTTTATTTTTTAAAATCAATTTCTTATAAGTAATTTTATAAGTATTCTATAATTTCTTATAAGTAAATTTTAATCGTTGTAAAAATAAAATATTTTTCAAGATCTTAATTTTTATTGTTAAAAAAGGACTTAACAAATAGATTTAAAAAAAAAGTATTATTAAAGAGAAATTCGCATTACGTGTAAAATGAAACGAAAATCTCATTGCTGAATTTATTTTACAGTATAATAAATCTATCTAACCAGAGAACATTGCACATTGTCGAAATATTCACCGTTTTGTTTTGTGTCTCAAGGATAATAAATGTGTAAATTTTTTTCAAAATCTGATCTGCCGATTCATGGCGAGATCAGGATTGCTACTCTAACGAGACGAATTCTACGAAACACTTAAATCATTGATCAAGTTTATCGCGTTACCACTAAAATTTATTAGTTATCATAGTGGATCAAAATAAATCATTAATAGTGAATTGATTATCATGGCATTCAAATACTATTATAAAATACAATTAAAAAAAAATATTATGATATAGTTACTATGAGGTTACTATGAGATACTATCGATACTTTGAATACTTTTAAAGATAATCTCACAATGAGATAAAGAAGAATGTCTTGTATAATAAGTGAAAAGCCACGTGTTCCGCAGAGTTCGTATTGCAAATACTTATCCCATGAAAAACCAAATTGTTTTAAATTTGTTTCTTTAAATTTCAATAAAAACATAGAGGAAAATATATGTATCTATATATATATATATTTTTTTTTTCAAAATTTATATATATATATATAAACAATATAATCTGAGAACAAATTGTACTTATTATTAATCACACAACTGGATTTTTCACACGAGATTTTTCTACACTGAACTATAGATAATCATTTATTTTCATATAACATGTTAAACATAATGTTTTGACTGTATTAAGAGAATTTAAAGAAAGCTTACCAAACCGACGAGTAGAAAAAATACTAGGAATGTGCGGCCGAGGACCGTCTGGCAGTAAACGTCGCCATATCCTACCGTGGACATTGTCACGATGAGAAAGTAGACGCAGGTCCAGTACGAAAGCTGTTGAGGGTTCGTGAACTCGAACGGATCCCCTGAGTTTTCAAGCTGTAATTACATAATATTAATATTTATAATTTATAATTTTTATAACATCGAGACTAACATACACAACTATAAAATATATACATGTATATGTATACTTGTATATTATTATTTTTAGATTGTCCTAAAAACTTACTTTTGTTTTTTTACAGATCTCCTTTATCTTTCATGATTTCATTTTTCCAAAGTAATATTAAAATAACATAATAATTCATTATATATTATTTGTGTGTGGTGTTAATGTATAATACATGAAATGTATAATACATTAATACATTAAAAAGTGAATTCTATAGACAGAAACAAAAATTAATGTACAAAAATATCGATCGAGACTTATTTATTAAACAAATTAAATTTGCAGATAGTGAATATATTATTATCTTTTAAATTGTTTTTAATTTAATAAATAAGATATTTATCAAGACGATATTTTTATATTTATTTTGCTCTCTGGAATCGATCCTCTAAAGATACCTCATGAAGAAAACTCTAAAAATATGTATAAAAATATTTAAAAATTTTAAAGAGAAAAATTTAAAATTACAAAGCTTTCATAACGCCTCAAAAACTCATGCACATGTAATGCGAAAAATTAAAAGCAGATTTTTTTTGATTAATAGAAAATAGATATGTATGTATAAATTTAATTTTTTGATTTATATTAATTTTTTCTAGTATATATTTTAACTACTTAAAACTAACTATTTCTAGCAATTTCTAGATAACATCTAGATAACACTTTTAATATTATATTGATTTAAATTTATATTGATTTAAATTTATATTGATTATAATATCATACAATCTATTGTATATTTAAAAAATTGAAAGAAATAAAGGAGATTTAGGAATCTAATTCTTATAGAAAATACATTTTTAGAAAATAATAATTAAATGTTCCTAAAAAATGTTTTAGATGAAGTACATGTTTATGACGAATAAATTAAATGTTTATATATAAGTAAAAAGTGTTGAAAATATCTTGACGAAGTTTTGAGAATAAACAAATATTGTTTACATCGTGATGTTAAGATTAGAGTGTAAGCAAATGCGTAATATATGATGAGCCAGAAAATCGAGTGGGTGTGACAGAGAGATTTTTAGAAATATCAGTATAAGATTAGTCACACGATGAGTGGGAAGCGAATAAATGTGATAAAAAATAAAATAAGACAGTAAAGTAGAATTGAAAAAATATTTATAAAACTCAAAAAAAAATATAACTATGTTAATTTAAATAACTATGTTAATTTAAATAAAAATAATATACAGTTAAAAATAAAATAAATATAAGATAAATAAAACAAAATATAAAAAATAATAATAACCATATTATAATTTGATGAATGAAATTATATATTATTAACTTTTACAATTTTAAACAATTTGAGTCTCTGCAGTTGAAAATTTTGTGAATTTTTTAATTTTTTTTTTTACATTAAATTATTCAAATATCTTTTCAATGTATATTGAAAAGTATTTTTAATACAATTATTCAATATTATTAATTTTAATACAGCTTTAAATACTTTGTACATTTAGAATTCTAATCACTTGATTGTCTTTCTACTTTTATTATTATATATAAAATTTAATTATCAATTAAATTATCAATTGTTAAAAATAAAAAATCAAAGACAATTTTTCATTTCAAATGATGTAACCATACTATCTACCAACTAATTATCCACAATCTGTTGTATCCATAAGACCAATAGTGAGAAGAAAAAAACCAAATAATAATAATGAAAAATATTTTACCAAATGAATGATGCCAGCAGCTGTTAACCAGACGGAGATGAAGATCGATACAAGTTGGGCGAGACGAATGGAACTCGATGTCTTTAGAATGTTTAGGTACTGGAGAATGTCAGGGACCGTCATCAGTCGTAGGGCTCGAAGGAACCTCAGTCCGATCCACGTCCGATCGAGATATATCGACACGAAGGACGGTGGTATCGTAAAGTAGTCCACGAACGAATACATCTCCAGCATGAACCACAGCTTATCACTGGCGGCGATAAACTGTCACAGAACAAATTTTTAATCACATACGTGTTAATAATATAATTTATTATTTCATCATTGTATTTATATGTAAACGTATAGATACAATTATTAGTATGAATTTGAATTAATTTTTATATGATATGAGTTAAAGGAAAAAATAATTTTATAAAAATAGATAATCTTGTAAAATTTTACAAATTCTTTATCTTATGATATTTAAATATTGAAAATTTATTAATTAGTGAGCAAAATAATTGATTTCTTATTTTGTCTAAATTTTTTAAGGATTCTAATATATTTCCAAACCATATCATATTAAATGAAATAACTGACAACTAAAAATTACTTGAAGAGTAGATTGATTAAAAATAAACTTTCTATTCTAATTTATTTGTAAAATCTAATACTCTCCTAATCTTGGTATTTTTTATTTTTTTAACTATTGAATCATTAATTTTTCCTAAATCATTTTGTTCTCTAATTTTTCAAATTAACTATTATTAATTATAATTAACTATTAATTATTATTCTAATCTTTCATCAGCAATCTTTTTTTTTTATTAACCATCAATAGTTTAGGTTTAACCATTTAAATTTATCTAAAATTTTTTGATATTAAAAAAAGCAATTTAAAATACGAAATGTATTTGATAATAACATTTAATTTAATAATTATATAAAAAAAAAATTAAGAGTGTTAAGCATAATTAAAAAAAAATAATATTTTCTTAAATATTTGTTTCAATGCAAATGTAAATTGTGAATCATGAAAAAAGTACTCAGTAAAAAGAGATCCAAGGTGTACTTCTTAAGAAAATCGTCTAATAATTTGTATTCATAAATGTTACATCATTCCTTTATAAATTCATTAGGTAATTCCTCGGAGAACTTTGAGAGAATGCTCACAAAGCATGTGCTTTAAGAGACTCAGATTGTTAACGGGTTAATCTTTTCCTAAGTCTTAAAAACCCACGACATTTCCCGACAAGCAGAATTTTATTGTTTGACTTCAACAGTTGTATCATTCAGTCAACGTATTACTTTAAAATAAAGATCTCTTATAACACTCCAATTACAATTTCTTGAATGCATTACAATGATTGTTTTAACAGTGCAGAGTCGAGCATTGTCATGCGATGAAAATTACAGTCTTAACCATTTTAATATTAGAACAGAGATTTCTTTGTTTTAATTTCCTATCCACATGTTGTAATTGTAACAAAATATATCAATATCTTATTGCAACATAAGTTATCTTTTAAGAATTATATGACAAAATTGATTCATTATAGTCTATCATTATTTACAAATTATTAGTAGAAGGATCTAATATATTGTTATATGAATTTAAATAAATACAATAAAATAACGATACAATATAATCATAATCTGATATTGGATCAATTATAATTTAAAAATTTTTATTTGATATAAATAATTTGATTAAATAAATAATTTATAATACTTTTTATATTTTATTTTATAATATTTGAAAATAAGAATTTAACACGGTAAGAAGTGACTGTCCACTATTCAACTGTTAATATTCATGAATCTATAAATTTAAAAAGCATCATAATACGATGAAAAGTTTACACTTACGCGTATAAAAAAGTAGACCATAAAAAATATATTGAAAGCTAAGTCTATCTGCTGAGTAATGTTGTTGCTCCACTCTTGGCAACGTTCCACCTCTTCGCTGTAACATAAAATTGTCATTTGATGTTAATAAATTATGTTAAGATCTCACTTATGATAAGTTTGCTTGATTTTTATAAGAAAATAAATAAACAATAATAATGTAATCAGTCGTTACATAGTTATTTACATGATTCGTTAATATATGAAAATTTTTATATATGAAATTGTTGTATATGAAAAATATATTTTATATTCCAAATTAAATGTAAATCCAAATAATTTTGTTATAATTATTATACATTATTAAAATGAAATTAAATTTACTTAAATGATTATAACAATTTTTTTTACTATACACAAATCTATAGAATTTTTTCCATTTTATGTGATTTAAAAAATATTTTACAAATAAATATAATATTTTTAAAATTACAATTAATTGATTTTCTTACCTAGAGGCATCGATGAAGTATATTATAAGCGATGCTATACTGAGAATGAAAACTAACACCACCTGAAACACATAATATTATTCAAAGTTTAATTAAATTAAATTAAATAAATATTATGAAAGCAAATATGCACAAATACTGTGATTAAAATTAAGCGAAATTATTTTTAATTAAATAATCTTTCTTTCTTTTATCTTTGTTTATATCAAAATCATTGTGTAATATATTTCTTATATATTTTGACTAATATCTCTTTAGAGGTTTTTTTTCAATAACAGAACCATTATTACCATAATTATAAATGAATTATCTATTAAATATTTATAATAAAATTTTAAAGATTCACATAAATTTTTAGATCTAATATTTAATCTAATATTCATAATTATATATCTTATTATAACTTATATTTTTACATATTGAAATATTGTTTACACAATAATTAATAATTTAATGAAAAACAATAAATTTTAATTTTAAATGTTGATTTAACGATAATGAAAAGCTCCAACGATCGAATTTATTCTCCTACAGTGGTCGATGAGCGCCAACGAATAAATACATATTATACTTCAAGCACTTTGTTAGCACTTTTTGAAATACACAATCTTAGCATACTCGTTCCAAGTGAGTAGTTTTACTTGGGAGGATGAAAGATTTACTAAGCTGGTAAATTTCAAAACAAATTTTGAACATGACTGTATGTAAGTTATATTTTTGCTCAAAAGTCTTAGAATATCATTATATATATATATATTATAAAAACTAGAAAAAATTAAGTAACTATTAATAGATATTAATTTGATTAATTTACATTAATATTTTTAAATCTATAAATCGTGACATCCATTTGTATAAATTTGTAATAAAATAAATATTTTTAAATTAATCGATGTAAGTAAACTGAGAATTTTTATGCAAATAATATATATTTTTCATGTAATGTACGTTTTTTATTTTGCATTTTTTTATAAATAATAGAAATGAATATATTAATTATTTTTCTTCTGATATCAATTTCATTTCTATAGCAATCGAATATTATAAATAAATTTAATATATAAAATTGAATAAAACTTCCGATTAAAAATATAATATTGAAATTTAAAATATTTTGATTATATTTATTTGTAAAAACAACATGATATTATACAATAATATATTCCATAATTTGTAAAACAATTTCTTTTTCAATGATAAACAATTTATCAAAAAATTATGATAAAATTTTTACATAATATTATAGATTTATATAGTTAAATCTATATAATAAAATTATGGATATTTTAAAAATATTACAGCTTAATATATATTTTAAATAATATCATATATTTTTTACATATTATTGAATATTTGTTAAATATTTGATTTTATTTTAATTGCATAAAAATTCGCAATCTAACAGTCATTTTTATTTGCAATTTCTTTATGTAAGAAAATTTCTTAATGAAATTTTTCAATACTTAATTATTTTAATATAGCTATATGAGAATGTAATAAATTGAAATGATGCATAGCTTGTCGTAACGATGGACAATGAAGAAAGATTTATCGTGAATATATATGTAGGATATCTCAAGACAGATGGTATATGTGAATAAAAGATGATTTTATATATAAAAATGAATAAAAAAAAAACAGTAAAATCAAATTTATCATTTAAAATTTCATAAATCGAGTTTGATAAATTTTCACTTAAATTTTATTAATTTAATTTCAATTAAATATGAATAATAAGAGATTATATATGAAATTAAATAAAAAGTAAATAGAATAAAATTTTGTTGTTTAAATCTTCGTTTTAAAGAAAATAGAAATTGAAAATATAGTTAAGAAGTAATTTTGAAGTAATTAAGAAGTAAAGAAAATGATTAACAAGTACTTTCGAATTCAATTTTCTTGAAAATTAGTTTTTAAGTAAAAAAATTTTATTTTATATTCTTCCTATATATATATTTATTCATATCTTATAGAAAATCAAAAGTACGTATATCTAATGAATTTTTAAATTCAATTTCAATTCGAAAACAAAGTTTAGATGTTTCAGATGTTATTAAATGTTATTCTTTTTTTTTTGACTCACTTTTATATTATTTTCTATTAACATTCTATTATATTTGCTATGATAATTATAATTACTAATAAATTTTTAATATCTTATTTAATAATCATCATTAATATTTCATTTCATTAGACATTTTATGTATATATAAGAAATTCATCTCTAAAAATAAAATATTATGCTATTGAAATGAATTTTTATATAATTAAAAGAAAAGAGAAAGAAAGATTATTTGGCCCTAATACTAGTATTTTATACAAAATGAAATTTGCTGATATATATATATATATATATAATTTTATTTATATAATTAAAATTAATTATATAATTATTTATAATATTATTATTATTATAATATTATTATTAATATTATTTATAATACCAAATATTTTATAAAATTTTATTATAATAAAAACTTTTGAATTGTAATATATAATTATTTTATCTAACACTATTTTATTTTATCTTACATAATTTACATTATTAACAAATAATTTTCACTTTAATCTAATTTAATGAAAAAAATCTAAATTTTACATCAAAGAAACTCTATAAATGAGTGTATGTCTAAACGAGTGTAGAGATTCTTTTCTATTTCATTCTATTCATTCTATTCTTTTTTTATTTCATTATTTTCTTTCTAGTTTACTCCTATGAAAATGTGAAAAAGAAATATTGGATGGCGAAGTCATCAATGCGCCAAGCATTCACATACACACGCATAATGTACAAATATACACATACAATTTCTCAGCTACGAGACTTCAGGTTGAAGCATATAGTGCAAGTAGCGTGAATAAATAAAGAAGCACGGCTTATGTACTTTAACCGACGATCGATTTTGCTTGGCTCCGTTCCAGACAGCAGCTCGTCAAATACCAAAGAATTTCGCCACATGACTCTTAATTGTCAATGATATATTATCGAAATGAATTTGATAGATTCTAACCTTTAATGATTCGAAATCGACATTTCATCAAATATCTGATTTATTGATGCAAGTCATAGAATTAAAATTTTTCTCGTAATTTTTACATCTATTAAATAATTATTATTTGAATATAATGCCACAGATAGCACGGATATAATTATTAAAATTTTCTTCGAGATTCTCACGTTTTGAAAAGTCGTAAAAATGAATATAATTATTGATCACAATGAAACATCTTATCGATTTTAATTTCAGTAAAAAATTATGTATATTCAATTTCTATTTATGATTATAAGGAATATGCGAAAAATTTAAATATTTAAAATTTTTCTAAAATTCTTTATTATTAGATATATATTTAAATGTCATAAAAATATTTTGTTAAAAAAATATTTTTTTCAATAAAATGACTATTAAAAATGAAATTATTATATTATATTATTTAAAAAAATTATATATATTCTTAAAATAATTTAATAATTTAAATAATGTTTCAATAAAAATTTATATTCTTTTTAACTTGTTGAATTGCCTAATATTTTTTGTAAGATATTATTTTTTGTAAGATTTGTAATATTAGTATTAATGTTAGATTGAATTTGAATTGAATTGAAAAAGTGAAATGAAGAGAGAAAGTAGAAAATGAAGAGAATAAGAGAAAATTAATATTATATAGATGGTGTTAATATATTCATAGAACATTTAGGGAATCATTTCTAGAAGCCAATATGAATATATTGATACTGTATATAATTAAAATAATTTTGAAAAATTTTACAAAAGAAATTTGAATTTGTATATAAGATAAATTTTCTTTTTTACAACTAATTATAAAAAAAATTGCTTTTATTGCTAATTAAACTAATATTTAATAACTCAAATTATCAATTATATTGAAATGAATTTTAATAAAAAAAAACTTGAGTAACAAAACCATATGGAAAAACACTAAAAAGCATAAATCAAATAATAAATCAAATAGATTAAATTCATATAAATTTGAATATATCTATATACATTCTATATAATAATGTATTATATATATTTAATAAAAATATCATTCAGCAAAATTTAATCTTAAGCGAACAATCCATAGAAGAATATCCATTTAAACTTAAATTTTAAACAATTAAAATATTAATTCAAGAAACATGTAATTAAATATTTGTTTAAATACACAATATAAAGAAACTTAAACAAAAATTATTAATTCAAAGAAACATGTAATTAAATATTCGTTAAAATATATAATATTACGGAAACTTAAACAAAAAATTCAAATCCTAAAAAAAATTTGAATTGATATTACAAATCCCATAAAACCGCAAATTAAATTTTTTCAGTGCCACATTTACCTGTCTCGTTTAAATTTGCACGAGAGGGTTGTATGCACATATGTATAACATGTGCACATTTAGGATTGTAGAAGTGTAGAAGAGCGTGTAAGGTCATTCTGTCGATGCACCATCTGAGTGTATGCAGCTGCGCTACGGAAATCTAGGTCACCCAAATACGAAGACCATGCATAAACGTTTCTCATATTTGTTTTTCAATATCGAAAGGGGATGAAAGAGACATATGCTAAGAACACAATAATTTTTATAAACTTATGACTATATAATTTATAAACTTGTACATATAATTTAATAGATAGAAAAGGAGAATAAAGAAAATCATTCGTATAATAATGATAAGAAATAATTGATAATGGAAAAAATGTACAATGAGTACAAAAGTTGTACAAAAAGTTGCAATTTATTGAGACAAATTGTAATAACATATACTTACAATAACAATGAATAGATAGAGAAATATTTATTTTTAATTCGATTAATTATATTGATTCGTATATTTATCATTTAGCCAATGAAAGTTAAATAATACAAATATATAGCCAAGAATTATATTTTTAAATGCATGTATGTATACATTGTTTAAAAATTTAGGATATCCAAATTTATTTATTCATATTTATTTGAAAAACTAAGAAAAATTAATAAAGATTAATTTGATATTTTATAGAATAAAAACTTTTAAAAATTTTATCAGTAATAAGGTAAATAAATTCA